AGCTTTTAGAATAGGAAATAACTTGTCACGTATCTTATCTCTATTGTGAAAACCTCCTCTAGGCCTAGATTAAAATGCAGAGTTCTTTAGACATATCTAATTTTTCCTTTTTCTCACCTCATCTTGGACTTGTTCTGTTTGTCTGTGTAAAATAATATTAATTACTGTCATTTTGTTGGGCTGCTTCCCATTTGTGCCTAATTAGCATAATTCACAGTGGCTATCTGCACCATTGAGTGAGTGTTAGATTACTTTTGCTGTGTTTAATGATCATACTGAATTCCACGTCTTTGTGAGCTAAGCCTTCACAAGTTGTTGCACATGTAGCATGGCTGGCTGCTCACACAGTAGAGGAATTGGACAGCGTGCCCCTGGTGAGGTGAAGACAGGAAAGGCTGTGTGGACATATGGATCTGAGAGAAGTGGGCTCTTGGGTGGCTGAAGGTATGAGCTGCCTGGTGGCCAAGCAGGAAGCAACACTGATGGTGAGGGGGAAAGTCTGAGGACTGTGGTGATGAGGACTGCGTTTTGGGCAGGGTTCTGAAGAGACATCATCTGTGATGATGACCAGGTCAAGAAAACTGTGAGAGCAGCATTTGCAGTGGCCAGGCCGAATATTCACTTTCTCTGTTGGAACAAGAAGTGTTGGTGCTTAAAACTATAAATTATTTACTCTTTTAATCTTCATTTTTTTCAAAGAGATAACTGAAGCTTAGTAATCTAATTTGTCCATGGTCTTCATTAGCTAATGATGCTCTAAAGACTGAAATCCAAGCCATCTGAATCCATCCTCTATTATAATATATTCCTTCCTAATTATAAAGTCAGATCTTGTTTTTTTTTTTTTTTACTTTTTGCCAAAACATCAGCTTCATCAGAGAGTGGACTTTGTTTTTTGTGCATCTGTATCCCCACCACCTTGGATAGGGCTGCCCTGAGACAAACAAGGACTCTAAATCCATTCCTGCTACTAACTACATACCATAGATTAGGTAATGTATAAATAATAGATATTAAATATAAATAATTGAACTTGCAAAGTCCAATATCATGGTGCCAGTGGATTCAGTGTCTTACAAAGGCTTTCTCTGATCCCATGATGACACCTTCTCACTGCATTCATGGTAGCAAAGTAAAGAGGGGAAATGCTGTGTCTTCACAAGGTGGAGAAGATGGAAGGCCCTGGCAGTGCTCTGAAGTCTCTTTCAGAAGGGCATTAATCTCTGTCACAAGTAATTATGTTACTAACATGATTAATCATAATATAATCACTTCCTCAAAGGCCCCACCTCCTAATTGGTTCTCAACAATGAGGATAAAGTTTCAACATGAATTTTAGAGCGATATAAACCATGAAATCATAGAGGTTCTCTTCTCCCTTTCTTGGTTCTGTGTGATGGAAGCCATCTTTTCCTTCCATAAACCAGGTCTGAGCATATCCAGACTCTTAGGAATCCGGGCTTTAGCAAGGAAGGTCTGTGAGAGGGAAGACAGGCAGTTGCCCCTGGGTCCCCAGCGTTCTGTCCTGGGGTGCGCGGTGGACAGCAATTTATTGAAAGTCATAGCACTAAAGGAAAAAATGAACCACTGCATATCGGCTAATGATGAAACTTCCAACCTCTAAAAATGACAAATGCCCTAGTTCTCTACCCCCTCACATGCCTGTCTTCCTGCAAAGGAAGAAATAATGTGATTTCATTTTCCAGGAAACTTATTATTCATCTATTCAATAACTTGCACATCCTGTTAACAGTTTGACTTCTCTTACTTCTGGAAGTTTGAAGCATCATTTCTTTAGTTGAAGGAGTTTTGAGAAAGAAAAAAAGGAAAGCTTAGAGCTCAAGAAATAAAGAATAATACTGTGATCATAACAACTCATTATTTGTTTTCAAGCTTGATCTTTCAGAAGGTTATTATTTGGAATTGAATACTAATGGATTCAGGTTCTCTTTATTCAGAGAAGATCTTCAACAACAGTGTTCATAGGAAAAGACATTAATCAGGAGAGAGAAGTGAGCCTTGTTCCTAATAATGTTTGCATAATAGCTACCCTTGGGTATATTGCTTGACTTAAAAATAAATATTCATGCTTTCCATATTCAGTACAATGGAGATTATTTGTGGTTATGAATCTGTTATATGTTTCTCTGCGTATTCATTGGGACATCAAACTGGGAGGCTGTTGGACACCAGCAAACATAAATAACAATGCTTCTGAATGTTCTGGGGTAGAAGTAGAAAGAGGCTTGACTGCAGGAAATCTGGGGGAAAGAGCTAAGAGCAGGTCATAACTGTTTTCAGAAGGAGAGAAGCAGAATCAAACTGGTCTGTGTAAGGACGTTTATATGCTCCCCAGATTCACATTTAACCCCATAGCTTCCCATCACCTGCAGGGTATAATCTAGGTGCCTCATCTTGGCATAGTGGTGCTCTTTGGAGTGGCCCCTGTGAGACTCTGCAGCACATGACCTGAGAACACTTTTGATGTGACAATATGGAGCTCTTTGCAGTTTCCTTTAAGAAATACATCTTTTAACTATCACGGCTTTGTTCACATTCTTTGCAAGGGTTCCAAACCTTCTTTGTTAATTATTTGAATTAATCGTGACCAAGTTGGCCTAAACTAACTTCTTCAAGAATTTTTTTTAACTACACCACTAGCTAGTAAGTTTTAACCTAGCCTCTATTATTGATTGATTGATTGATTGATTGAGATCCATAAATAGTTTTTGCCCAAGGAATTCTTTCATGATCTTCAATTGATTATTTACATGCTGTATATTTTATTATGCAAGTGCTTTAATAAATCCATTTTTTCTTCTTTCTCTATTTTTCTGTCTCCATCTTTTTTTGAACTTTTAAATTCTGAGAAAGGGTTTGATAAGATCTTGAAGTCATAGGCTATGCTGCTTTGTGAGTTACAGGGCGGTACATTAACTGTTCCCCTGTGCCATTTTCCTTCCTTTATTTCCTTCACACTCTGAATATTTTCCTGCAACCAAGAGAACATCCTGCAGCATGATGTTCTGATTTGTTCCCCCAGATCTGTGACTGCTAACACTCTCCCCGCCTCTTCTTCTCTGAGCTCTGATGTAGTCTTTATGTCTTGAAGTTAAGCTCCATCCCTTTGGCTCCTTTATCTGTGCTTGTCCTCTGTCTGGTGCTATGTTAACAGAGTTATGTCTGCCCAACTTCACATGCCAACTTTACCTTGTTGGAAGGCTCCTTCTAAAACGTCCATATGTCTTTTCCATGTACTTGGGTGCAGTCACAGCAGTACTGAGAATCGTGTCTTCTGTCTATACAACCATCCCACAAAACACTTTTTAAACTTTGATCCTTGGTAGGGAGGTGAGCAATATACCTGTTAATGAAAAAATTGGCTCAAAGACTGAATCACTTCTTAAATTTATGGGCCCAGTAAATTACAGAGTCAGAATTAGACATGAGTCAAGCACTTTTCCCCACAATGCTACAAACCTCACAACAACATTTTCTGCCACCTTCTACATACCTTCCGCAGAGACTAGCAGGGCTCTGTGCATAGTGAGCTCCATGGGGCACTGGACAGGGGCCTGTCTGGTGATGCTGACTAGGCCTCTACTTGCTCTGTGCCCCAAGAGAGTCACTTAACTTCAGATGCCAAGGTCCCCACTTATAAAACAAAGAGACAGGATGTTTCTTAGGTTCTTTTGACGTATCTTATTCCTTCGGTATTATTTTCACATCTCTCCCTTCCCACTCCTTTCCTTTACTTGCTTTCTTTTCAGTCAAACTGAGAAGTTAATTGGTACACATCTGCCATGTGCTGAATTTATAGGAAGATGGAAAGAAACCCTCAGATGGTTTCAGATGGTCTTCCATGCATCCTCCTTCTGTCTATTTTCAACTTGCCCTCCTCATCACCAAGTTTTTCAAGGCTTCTACTAAAGACAGATGCTCAGTCCTGTGCCCCCGAGTGAGTTTCACGTGGTCCTTTGCATCTGCTCACCCAGGACTCGACAGTGAGCCATAGAAAAGCCTCAAGGACTTTGCTCAGCAGCAGCCACGGCTTCATATACTTTGTTGCACAGTACTTCACTTTTGGTTAACTCTACCTGAGAAATTACTCAAGCAAGTAGAATAAAATATCACTTTGCAAAATAAATTTACATTATTTTTCTTATAAAATTTTGTGACTTCAAAACCTGAAAATCTATTTTTTGAGTAGTTTCATAGTTGATATATTATTTATCTAAAAGGGCCATATCCATCCTGGTGTAAATAGTTCCTTTTAAGAATGATAATTATCATCAGACACACATATAGTTTTCCACTTTTGTCAAGCATGTTTTCTTATTTCCTTTCCATACCCCACATGATGTGCATAAATCATTAGACACAATTAAAATAGAATGGTTTCCTCTAATCATCTTACTATCTATAGCAGTGAGTTTTTATCATTACGAAATATATAATCAAAATGACAGGTGATTACTTCAACTTCAAAAGAACTAAGGAGAAGGAACTAGAAATAAGGGACTAGCCACAGTCATGATTAGACACTTCCTTGGCACCTGTGGCTAGTTAGGAAAATCCATAGGGCTTCATGAATCCTTTTAGCCTCCCATAAAGTTAAGACTTTCTCCTTTGCATTTGTGGAAACTGAGGCTCAGGTAGTTAAATTCACCCACTGTTCCACAGCTCCTTGGTGTCAGAGCTAAGATTTGAATCCAGTCCGTGAAACTCTAAATTTCATGCCATCTTTGCTGGACCAGGACTGGAGCGGGACTCCTAAGGGATCTAGAATGATGCATGGGATTGGTGCCTGGGCAGGGAAGGGCTGAAAGAGAGGACCTTCATCTGTTTGACTAAGTTTCAGCCTTCGGGATGCTTCTCCTTCTCTAGGTTCTCCCCACAGACTACCATAGACTGCCCTTTCAAAATATGCACCCAACCTTCTGTAGGATTTTAAAGAGAGGGCCTTCTACTAATGGACATCTCTGTTTTGTCTTTCACAGCAATTTTGCAGGCAGTAATAGCTGGTGATCTTATGAAGGTAAGATATCTCTCTTTGCAAATTTGGTGATTCATTAAGAATTTTCAAAAAATGATATTGTTCACCAAATTTTCAAGATCCTGCTTATGGATTATCTCCCCACTGCCTGCATTGGCTGAGAAGGAGGAAGGATATTTTTGAGAACAGAGCACAGAAAGAGAGGAGCCCTCATAGTCTCTCTTCATTCCCAACAGTGCAGGGTCTGTGGGAAAATGCCCTGAGATTTGCCTGAATTCATTACAATGAACCATACACCCAGTATCAGGGCCACAGTGCCCAGAGTTCCTGCTCTGAAGAAGCTGACATTTGAGAAAGTAAAGGATTTCTTTTCAGACAGATATTGAAATGAATAAATTTTAAAGAATAACCTAGGCAATACCCACAATGCATTCTCTGTGATGGGGCTCACATCTTCCGTTGTTATAGTTTGATGCTTTGTGGATCATAGTTAGCCTAAAGATCAACTGGTCCATTTTGAACATCTTATTTGTGCCCATTTTTTTCTGGTGAATTTAGTTCTAAGGAAGGAAATGGTCACCGCTGCCTTGGGAGGGACTATAAATTCTGAAGTCAGGCTGCCTGCCTGAGTTCAGATCTTGGCCCTACTGTTCATTACTCGTGAGGTTTTGAGCCATTATTGAATTCCCTCTGTGCCTCAATTTCTTCATCCATAAAGCAGGATAATAATATTGCCCCTTTTTTTGGTTTGCTATGAGGATTGAATGTTATCATGCAAGTGATATTGTCATGATGGTCTGTATTATATAGAAAGGGCTCAAAAATGTTAGCCATTTTACTCATTTTACAGTGTTAATCATTTTTTTAACAGCTAAAAATGGTGGGGATAAAAAAATGTCTTGTATAATGTAGTCTATGAGTGTTCTAAAATGTTTATCTGGTCTCATATCATTTTCAGGCATGGGGACCCATATCATATGTCCCTGTGTAACATCAGCAGCACTGACCTGCTGTATATATAGAGTGGAGGCTGTGCCTTACCCATCAGCAGAGTAGGAAAGTTCCAGGTCAGATTGACTACCCAAATGCCTTAGAAGAAAACTGAGAAGCACCACCATTGTTTTTTAAAGTACTTATATCAGATAAATCAAGGCCTACCTGTACGACATTTTTACGTTTTCAACAGGTTACTAGCTGAGTAATATAGAAGGTTGTAAACATATTGGCCAATTGCCATGTGTAGGCACATAATTATGAAAATGGTATTACCCGTGCTGTTGTCCAGATCAGAGTGTCACTCCATGGGTACCCAGGGGAGAAGTGCCCCCCTGAGCAGTGTACCTGTGCGTTCATTGCCTTTCCCAGCAGTGGATTAGCACCATACTATGCTCCTGCAAGGACTTCCGGTAGGCCCTGTGGGAAGTAAAGAGGAGAACAAGGCGGATCCTCGCCCCTGGAGAACCTCTCGGCCAGGACATTTTGCAAAGCACCATACATCGGAAACCCTTTCATTTGATTTTCTGTATGCTTTTAGTGTAGGCAGCCAACATTCCAGGTCCTTGGATATCACCACACATTTTCAGTAACTAGCAGAGAGTAATTTGAAATATAGAAAATCACTACGTCCAGCTGGATGTCTTTCTGCATTCTACATTATAATGATGTCCTAGATGGCTAAAAAGTAACTTAATGACAACTTATTTACAGAGAGATGAAATACAGTGGCTGAAGTTTTTTTTTTCTTTTTTAGTCTTTTTCTTTTGTACCTTTTTTCTCATTCTTCTCAATTTTCTGTTTCTCTCATATGCATAGAAAGTACAGTACAAATTAAGTATTAAACTGGTTGTTGTGTATATGTGCATATTTTTAGGAGAGAGAGAGAAGGAGAGAAGGACTAGGGAACAGAAGATCCCAGGAGCCGCTCAGGGGGAGGGCTGTCACACAGCTCCTGAACAGCTGGGCTGCATAGGATGCCCACGGCTCACTAAAGAGTCCCAGTGTCTAAAAGCCCTTAGAAAGACAGGGTCAAGGCTGCTGGGCAACTGGGTCTGGCTGGATCTGTACTTCCATCCATCCTTTCTGGATCTGCCCCCAAGGAAAGGGTGCCATTGCAGTTGGGTAGAGCAGGATTCTGTCCGGTCATGAGAGGAGTGTTGGCTACTTCTCCCTATCCTCTCGCCCTACAGTTTAGGGATGGAGATTCCCATGAGTCCTTGGCCTCCATTCAGCTATTCCTCTTCATCTATTTTCTAGGCAGGATTGCAGGGCTCCTTTTGTATCCAGTGCTTTGTGGTCCCCTGGTGGGCCTCTGCTATCCTCATAGTATCCCCCTCTGTCACTATAATTCTTTACACCTCTGTCTTCTGAGTCGCCTGAAAGGCCTGTAGACCAATGACTGAGTCACGTTCAGCTTTGTTTCTGCATTCCCTTTGCTTATGACCTGCACGGCTGTTCATCCTCAAATTGCCCTTTAGAAATGTCACGAAAGCTCTTCTTGTTCAAATATGCTGCCGTTTGGAGAACAGGACCCTATTTGCACTTTCTACAGTGTTCTATCCTTCATGAACCTAGGCTACCTCCTCCTGTAGCCACCTTACTCTCAGGCGGCCAAATTGTTTCCCCCCACTCCCAGTCTTCCCTCCCACAGAAATAAATACATCCTTCTCTTCATCATTTCAGTTTTCATCCCATGGATCATCTCTAGCCTTTTTGGGTATGTACTGGATGATCCTCAGACGGCGTCAGGCCAGGCTGCAGGTCTGGATGAGCAAGGGAGCCACACACAGTGATCTATGCATGTGTGCGTGTAAATGCTTGTGTTCAGGAAAACGAGAAGCAGCTCTTCTATTTGGTAGTCAGGCTCTTTAGATTGAAGAAAAGGTAAAGGACACAGGGAAGCAGCTTAGCTATCAGCCATGCTCTCTTTCTGCTTATAGCAATAACTATTCTCTCCCTTGAAAGAGTGCTGAGCCAACCTAGGGAAGGGAAGTTTTTGCTATCTTTACCCCTCACTCCCATGGGACAGAGACTAGAGCTTAGAAGAGGAAGGAGAACAGCAATTGAGAAAGTTTCAGTTTCCTTGGACCATTGAATACCACAGACCTTCCCCAGAGCCAGGTGAGACACCAGCCATCTATGTGAGTAATATCACAGTCCAAAAATCCACTTCATCTCTTTGACTTTTTTCTATGTCCTCTGAGGCTAGAAACATTTGCGGGTTGCTACGTGAGTCTTATTTTATGAGGACTTAGCTGTTCTTGTTCTGGATTCTACCTGAGCCTCTTTCCATGCTTCTCCCTTTCAGCTAATAGAAAGCTATAAAAATGGAGGCAGTCTGCTAATTCAGGGACCGGATCACTGTTCACTGCTTCACTACGCAGCCAAAACCGGCAACGGGGAGATTGTGAAATATATCCTGGACCATGGTGAGTAGGCACAAGAACTTACCAAAGACCACTCCTGCATGAAGTAGAGGCATCTTCTAAATTGGCATTCACCCAGTCTGTCTTCACAATGGGAGAAAGACTGCTAATCCCATTTTAACTGACTCTCCCAGCTTATATGAAGCAGCCAGGTTTACAGATGACTGATACTTGTGGGTCATCCTAACCAAGCAATTAATAGAAGCCATCATCATATGGAGCCCCATATAGGCTATTATTGGATCATTAATTTTTAAAAAGTAAAGGACAAAATTAAATGCAATCTGGCATAATGTGTTTTATTTTTCTAAAAACTTTTTTTTTTTTTTTTTGGTAAATTAACTGATTGGGATCAGCTACCTAATCCATATTTGTAGTTGACCATTCTGAGGATTTATGACTATGATTTTTTTTTTTAATCTTTTTAGTTTCTCAGTTTATTCTGTTGGAATCCCATTCATCTTTTTAAGTCATGCTTTATTTTCCTTGAAATGCCTAGTACTCTTTTGTCCTCTGTGGCCAGCTATACTCACCTCCCAGAACATTTTCTAACTGGGATTTTGAGGAATAATTTGGTGTTAGATCCTCTGCTGGATTTGGCCTAGAGCACCTGTCTCTAAGAGCTTGTTAGAAGCATTAATAAAGATGGTGAATATCAAGTCTCTATTGTTATGTTAGTTTCTCATGTTTACAGTATTTTGAGGAATAAAGAACAGGAAAAACAGGGAGTTGGGGTGGGCAGGGTGTTGTGGGGGGGGGGGGGTTCTGCCTGGCTAGGCTAATTGAAAGGAGAAGATGTGGAAGCTCAATGTGTCTGAGGACATAAGGTCCACTGAGATCCTGGAAGACTTTGAGAGCTGATAGTGAACATGTGGCCTACTTAATTGGCACCCAAATTCAGATTATAGATAGTAGCAGATTAGTGCTTTGGTTAGAGTTTGTTAATTGGTTTAATGTTTATGCTCAAGAGAAAAAGAAAAAAGACTCAAGATTCCCAGTCATTATCTAACTTCATTCACAGGAAAGAGTTCCAGAGGTCTCAGATGTTTCCTGTCCCATCAGAATCTCCAGTGGGTCAGGAGATGCCCAGGAGAAAGACTGGAGATAGTGAAGTAAATAGATCTCTTCTGATTGAACTTAAATCTTCCAATTGGCATTCCAAGAATCACTACATTTTTGATAGATGGCATTTTTAAACTTTACTATTATAGTCAAGTAATGAAAATTCATTTGCAACTGATCTTTATTGAAATGCATTTTTATCAATCTTATACACTAATTACCGATTTTTAAAAAAATCATCCATTTCATCATTTCTATTTACTTAAGAATATGAATGTGATATGTGATTTTTTTTTTATTTTGAATGTGAAATCTTTTGGTAGTCAAATTCACCTGGTTCTGCAAGAGTTAAATGCTCATTTGTTTTCTTAACATCTTTTATTGCTGATACAATGTGTATTAACCTGTGCATTTTGAAATTGAAAACTACCTTTGCAGAACCATTCATCTCTTTTAAATTATAGAAGCCCCTTTAAATTATCCCATTCTTGAAATCAGGAACAAGTAAATGAAAACCTTACCCTATCTCTACTCTGTAATCACTTTTAAAGGGATCTCTGCTGATTGAAATAGTTTTTCCTTAGTACTGATGATAACTTTGGAATTACCCTGGCCTAACCAAAGTGGCAGTGCCTTTTCTAAAAGGCTTCCAGAAGCCATTTAGGATTGTTGACCAGACTATGGTATCATATTTAAAAATAAGCAACAGATTTGCAGTAAGTAAGTCTGATCAGTTTGAATCCATGTAAATAAAAAAAGAAAAACTAAATAAATGAAATTTTTATGCCATGCCAAAGATCCAGAGAACACACTCCTCCTAGTTCCTGAATGCAGCAAATCTCTTGATCTCTTTTTATTTTTTACAATTTGGTCCATGCTGGTCCATGTCTTTCCTGTAGCTTCAGATATTATAAATCCAAAATATGTTGAAAGACCTGACAAAAGGTGCCTTTGCTTCCCGTGGATTCAGTGGGTCCCTTTCAAGGTTCATAAGTGACACTTGTGTGGTCCTCACCTTGTACAAGGCACGGGGCATCCTTGCTGCTGTAAGCACCTCCCCCTCTGCTGTGCCTGCTTCTTCAGTGGGCATTTAGGGTAAGGAGTGTGGTTCAGGATCAAGAAAACACCTGCTGAACAAGAGTCGTGAGAGATGGTTGTCTTCCCTGACAGGAGGATCCACAGTGTATTTCTCTTCTAAGGCTCTTTCAAACTGGCTGAGGACTGCAGGAAGTGAGATGTGTGGTTTGTTCTGAAAAAGCCACAGGGGGCCTCTTCCTTTGGCCTTCTTCTCTCATACAAACAGCGAGCAGCTTTCCTTTATGAAAAACTGGAATCTGGGCATTTAGAGGGTTGAAAAGAGAACCTAGGAGGAAGAGAGCTAACCATTCCAGAGACAGGGCAGAGGCTAAGGATGCTGAGATTCCCCATGGTGGTTCCCACTTTTCAACTCCTTTCAGCCATCATTTTTGCGGGCTCCCTCCCCCTAGTTTACCCCTCCAAGAGACTTTTGTGTTGTTTTGTTCCACTACACCCTATGCATTTGGCTCTTTTGTTTTTATTCTCCCCACGCCTACTCCATTGCCCCCCACTGTTTTTCCTGATAGAAATCTCACTCATGCATTTCCTTTTTGATTTCAATGGGTTATTTTGTCTTCCCTCTTTTTCTGCCTTCAATCTTTCTTTTTTCTTTTTTTTTTACCCCCCCCCCCCCCTTTTCTGCCTCTGGTCCCAGAGAAAAACGACCACTTTCCTGCTGGGCCGGGATGACAGTGCTGTTAGCATTCCCAGTGCCAGCTCTCCCCACATCTGTGCAGCCTTTGTCTCTGGGCAGAGGAGGATTTGGAATGGTCTGCTGGCAGTGTCAGGGAGACTAATGGGAAATGAGTCCTGAGAGAGGGAGGAAGGGAGAGAGGCTATGGGGAGGTGGAAGGAATAGCAAAGGGGATTTGGATGCACTGGTGTGGGAAGCAAATTAAAGAATGCGTGGTACCAAAGGCACGTCCAATATAACACAAATGCAATATGGATGATAGAGTCAGAGTCGCACCAGCAAGGAACAGCGTGGCCCAGGGAAGAGCCCATGGACTGACTCCTTGCAGTTAGGAGAGCTTGACCACTTACCACCATGCTTGCTTTGAAAGATTTTGAAGTTTTGCCTCCTTTCATGTTCTTCGGACTTCGCCTGAATAGTGATGTATATGTCCCCTTATGAGAGAGATTGTTCTTTCCTTTACTTTCCAGACGATTTCCCACATGGTCCAGTCCTTTAAATCCATGTTTCAATTATGAATAGTTCTCTGAGGAAAAACATGTGGTCTGGGATCTAGTATGATTTAAACATAACAATCATTCATTTAAAAAAATTAATTGTCCCAGACACTTTGGAGGAAAAAAATTTACAGCACTCATTACACTAAAGTTTATTGAGCTAGATGCTAAATGTAATAGCACATTTAATTTCCATTTGACAGATGGTAAAAACAGAAGCATCATGAGGTTAGGTTATTAATCCAAACTCATGCATATGTCTTCTGGATACCTTATTCTAGCAAAAGACATGAGATACAAATAACCAGAAGGCAGAGGACCTGCATGTGCTTGTTGTATAAATTGAAGAAAATCAGTCTTTAATTTTTTTCTCTTTTTTTTTCTTTTTTGTCCTTTTTAATTAGTGAGACCCAACTTTCCAAAAATCTTAGGAGCAATTTTGTTGTTGTTGCTTTTGGTTCCAGGAATTGAACCCAGAGATACTTAACCACTAAGCCATATCCCCAGCCCTTTTTCATTTTTTATTTTGAGACAGGGTCTTGCTAAGTTGCCGAGGCTATCTTAGAACTTGCAATCCTCCTTTATTAGCCTCCTGAGCCACTGGAATCACAGGCGTGTGCTACCACACCTGGTTTAGGTGCTATTTTTTTTAAATACATTTTATCCTTCAAGAAAATTCTTGTGACCTTTGTTTATTATGTTCAGCTCTCTGACCACCCCCATCCAAATCTTGCAGCACGGTGACTAAACAGCACAGGCTAGTTTAGAGCATGGTTCTAAACTGGTTATTTGTCAGTGCAGAACAAACCAAGAGGGATGGCACACCTTGTATTGGGATACACCTGGCAGCCACTCTTCTTGTGTCTTACTGTGCAGCCCCCTTCTTGCTAGCACAATGCAAACATAGGCCTTTGAAAGCAGGCTCACAAAATGATGAGAAAATGTACCTGTGCTATTAAAAGCAGCTCCCCACTGCTATCTGTAATGAGCTGACTGCCACCTTTCCCCTTCTTCACTGGTCATTTGCCTGCCAGTGCACAAAATGTTCTAGTGGGCTGGGGATAGAGCTCAATGGTAGAGTGCCTGCCTAGCATGCACGGGCCCTGGGGACTGGGTTTGATCCCCGCACTTAAAAAAAAAAAAAGTTTAAATATTTTGTGATTATGTTAATGGAAGGAGAAAGGACTTTGGGGTTAAATAAATTAGTCATTCCAAGTCATACCCCAAACCCTTAACTAGAGTTTCTTTAGATGTTAATTAAGAGCAAGTGTCTGTTTCAGTGTCTGTGCCTCTTCTCTGGCCACAGGCATGCCGGAAGCACAGACTGGAAAATCAGCATTGGAATAACTGAGTTGGCTGCACTTTTAATGATTCTGTTTTTATCCTGTTCAGATATGGTGAGGCACAATGTCCTTTCTTTTCCTTGTCCCCACCCTTAGATTGTCAAACCCTTGTTGTTAATGAGTTAAAATATTTCATGTTCCGTCCCATGCATGGAAGCTTGGACCCTGGGGGTCACTGGACCCATGGTGGATGCAGCTCTGATGGCCAGTGCTGCAAAAGAGGCCTCTGTTGCCTCAGTTGGGTACAATTAGCAGTAATGATGGGGGCCTAGCTACTGGTGAGGCCAGGCTGTTTGTGTTCCTGGAATTCCTTCCACAATGATAGGATTCAAAGGTTTGCCAAAGGTATCTGGAGCTCCTCAGAAGGACCGTGGGGCCCAGTGGGCCTCTTGCTCCTGATCCTGTGAAGGATGCCCTGTCTGCAACTGAAAAGGCATGGAGTGCTTGGTTCTCTGGCCTATAGCTTGAGTGACTTCAAATGCAAGTGGGAGTGAAGTGGTCCTCTGTGTCATCTTCCCACACTGATGTCCCATTTGATTGATGTGACCAGCTATATATGACAGAAAACAGGACAGTTATCACTATCTAAACTCTAAGTGGTGCTTATGGTGGGCTGGACACTGTTATATGCATGTTATGCATAATGACTCAGGAAACCTCCCAACAACCTTTGAGATTAATATTAATCGAGCTTTGCATGTGTGACAACCAAGGCATTACGAACTTGTCCAGCATCTAGTATGTGTTGGAACTGAGAGTTTAAACCAAGAGGGGCAGTGCCAGGAGCCTCAGTCCTAGTCTCTGCCTGGTCTGCTTTGGATGTGTGTATGAGGTGGAGGGAGAAGGATTATCATTCTTATTTCCTCAGAATCACAGAAGTAAGGAACAGAAGTACACCACAGTGAATCCCACCATTGTGTACATCCATAAGAATGTGATCCTAATTAGAATAAGATATATTCCATGCTGTGTAATTCTATCAAAATGGATTCTACTGTCATCTATCATGAAAAGAACCACTAAAAAAGAATATTCTCAAATGTTAAAAAAGATGATTGAGTTAGATGTTTGTTGTTCATATAAGGTACATGGTGGATACAAAAATAATGAACGCGTTCTGATACTCAAGAGATTTAGAATAATTTAAGAGATAAGGCATAACATTTGACAAGGAAATTTGAGATACAGGGTAGAACCAAGGAAGCATCATGGGAGTTCTGAGATCACAGATCATCTCTTCAGAGGACCTTGTCACAGACAGGGCTTTGAAAAATGTGTTGGGTTTGAGTATGACATTAGAAAAAGAAAGGCTGTTGTGGGTAGGGAGAGTGGGGGATCAAGCTCCCAGATCTAGAAACAGATCTAGAAACAATCAGTTGTGCCCTTATGAGTTCAGCTGACGTGAATAAATGAAACTTAAAGAACCAATGAAGGAAGGGTTCTTCCCAGTGTAAGGCTGTAAACTTCATCACGTACTTGGGAATGAACAGTAGATGATAGATGGAAACTTGGAAATCCAGGTGATAAAAGACCATTTTATTTTTAAATAACACTTTCTTCATGCAGTTACATTCCAGGCAGAGACCTATTAGGAAGTCTACTTGTCAACTAGAATAAAAAGTAAAAAGAGGAGGGAGTAAGGGAAGGAGAGAGGGAGAAACCAGGAGGAGGCTGGGATATGGCTCAGCAGTAGAGTGCTTACCTAGCTAGCATGCCCAAGGCTCTGTGTAGCATCCCCCGTGTTCCTTAAAAAACAGATTCACCTAGCTCCAGTGAAGAGTAGATGGGAAAGCAATGAGGTCAAGATGATTTAGCTCCAGGATGAACAGAACTTAGAAATTCGATGATATCACAGTCATTTCTTTGGCAAATTCATGGTTAGAAACTTAGAATGTCTTCCCCCCAGATTTCTTACATTATGCAAAGTAAGTTAATTTGCAATAATAATGATCTCCACCAATACAAAGACAAATCCCAAGGATTGTAACATGCCCAGTACCTAAAACTGTATTTGGTACTTCCTGCCATGTTTATTCATTCATTCAGCCAAATATTTAAGCATCGGCCTGGAACTGGACTCTATGCTGGGTATCAAGAAGGACACAGTGATGGGGAAAGCACAGGCTAAATCTTCCACAAGTTTACCAGAGTCTAGATTGAGAGGCAAATCAGTAGGTAATTTGAAAATACTTACTCAAGTCTCGTGCTTAGTAAAGTAATTCCATATCCCCATTGACCTTGGATGGTCCCAAGTTAGATGATAAGTCCCACTTCCCAACTCAAGTATGAGTCACAGGGTCAGCATGTGAAAAGAGAGGTCATGTAGGCAGGGTGTTTAATGCAATATGTGCAGTGGGGTCTTAGGGGACTTTGTGTAGGAAAGGGGGCTCCAGGCTGAAGGATAAGGGATTGCAAGGAGGGAAGCAGTGGTCAGAAGGCAGAACAGTGGACATTCCAAGTAGTGTATTCAGATTGGATGTGAGAATTAGTAAATAAAGCACCAACCAAAGACAAACTCATGTGTTTTTCAATTTCTAATGATGTGTTTATAATTATTTATGGGTATGCATAACATTTCTTCCAGGTTTTAGAAGGGAAATTTCATAAAAAGTAAGACTTTAGCCTTTTTCTAATATGAAGACATTGGACCAGATGACGTGTGCAGTGTTTGCAGTTGTAAAACATGATACTATGGGAGGACCCTGAAATACATCCTATAGCTAAAGAATGAGAAACAGTCCTGGTAGCCCACCTGATTGGCTGTTGTTTCTCTGGGCAGCCACCTCACCATTCTTCACTTCCTCTGCTCCAATTAATTTTATTTCTTCAACTTGATTGAAAGTCTTTTGACAGCAGACTGTCTCATCTTTTGCATTTCCCATTCTATCCGTTATTGACTCCAGATTGGGAGATGAGTGATCAAGAGGTAGAAGAATTCTTTTTTGTTTGTTTGTTTTCTTTTTGTCTTATTATTCCTATCACCAAATGACTCCTTTAAAATTCACCTTTCTATGGCATTTTAATTCTGTGACTATAGTTTCTCTGTTAATGTTTAGTTTGGAGCTTATTTTTGATGGGCATCTTGCTTTCTTCTTGTCTAGGACCTTCTGAACTATTGGACATGGCAGACAGTGAAACGTGAGTGTTGCCTTTCATTGCATAGTCTAGATTATTTTCTTCAGAACATTTCTAGGAGAAGATTAAAATCTAAGGCATATGAGGTAATTTTAATTTCATTGATTAAAAGTCCACTATCAACTGTATTTATAACTGTGCAGGCAGGGCTAATCTGAATAAAAAATTTTATGATAAAAATTGATGATATGTCATAATGACTACATGCATAGACAATGCTAGTCATCAATGAGAGCTTCCTAGAAAGAAGATACTTTTACACTGGAGCATCTTGAACTGCTGAGAATCGTCAATAAATACATTTACCTCTCTATATATAAACTTGGTAGAATAAAGATGAGTGGGATGGAGAGAAATTAGTTGATGAGCAGTTAACTAGGTAGAGAGCAAAAATGGGAATGAGTAGAATGGAGGACCAGGGGGTGGGGTTTCAGCTGTGAGTTTCTAAAAGCCACCATTGCTCTGTAGAGCTGGTACACACAGCATGTCCCTTTGGCACTGTTGTGAGTTCTGCTGCCACTAACCCCAGTTTGCCTTTTCTATGGGTTGCATTTGATTTTTTTTTTTTAATGAAACTCTATGGCATTAAACATCTTTTTACTTTGGAACTCAGAATGGGAATATATTCCTCCCTAGACTGCCTTTCACAGATGGAGACGAGTCTATCACTATGCCCTCCCAGAGGCTGGTCTTAGGCCTGCTTCCTGCTTGGAGATCTTGGGCCCCTGAAAGTCTCACTGAGCCTCCCACATGCCCTCTGAGGCTGCCCCTCCTTCTGCCTGCCACTCACACAGAACCCAAAGTGGCCTGAGCAGAGTGGAGGCCAATCTGGTACTTTCAAGTCAGGTTTTCTGGAGATATTCTTTTGAAGGCCAAGTAGGGTCAATCAAGCATTCTGAGATGCCACAGAAAAGTGGTGGCCTTTCATGCTGCTCCCTGGGTACTCCACCCAGTACCTTTCATGCTCTGCCCAAACAGAGACACAGAGGGAATTATTTTGGTGTGCAGACAAATCTATGCAATTATTCTATTTGATAACGCCATCAAACATATGCTAAGTCAAGCAGTATAGAAAATTCTAAAAAACTAACAAACTATTTTAAAAAAATCACTAAGCCTAGTTAACCAATGGAACTAGATATGATATGATGGTCAATCAATGAGAAAGTCAAGTTTTAGGCACCCCCTAGATCACCTTCCCAGGAACTTCCCACAGCCCTGATCTCAGCTGCCCTCAGGGGAAAAGGCTGAGGAACACAGGACAGCAGCAACATGGTAGGGGGTAGGATAATTCCCTTCACCATTCTGCCCCCCCCCCCACCCCCAAGCCTGTCCCCAACGCCTTTATGAGTGGCTTCCCATTTCATCTTTGATTTAGGGGTGAGACTGCACTGCATAAGGCTGCCTGCCAGCGGAACCGGGCTGTGTGCCAGCTTCTGGTGGATGCAGGAGCATCTCTGAGAAAGACGGACTCCAAGGTAACTGGATGAGCGAGTGCAAACATCCTCCCTCCCTTGGGATCGGGCCACTGTTGCCTTCGCTGGAGCCCCTAGCACAGGCATCCTTTCTGTGCTTATGGAAGTGCCTGGGGCTTTGGAAAAAGGAGGAAAAAATAGAGTGCTTCCTTTAGAGAAAGTGCATTTTAAATGCATAAGCACAAAGGGCGGGTGTTGCTTGCCTGTGGCACTTTATAAACCTTTCAACGTGCTGGCCTTGGGACTTGGGGGTTGTTTGTTGAACTCCAGCAGGCAAATTGTGGGGAGGGGAGATCCAAAGCCCCAGGAAAGGGGTCAGGACTATGTTCAAAAACATTGGCCTGGATAATGAGAAGTTCCTTTGGGATTTCTCTTTCAGTACTGAATCCGATGCCATTTAAAATCTGTTCTTTATGTGGCTCCTTACATGGATGCCAAAGTGATTACCTGTTGGCTCTTTGGAGCTTGGTTCCCAGCTTTGAGATGGTTACAGTCTTAAATCTGCTGTATTTCTGAGGTTCTCTATTTTTCTTTCATTTTTGAAAATTTCTTTCCATTTCTGGCTTTATAGTATTCCCTAAAAGTTAATCTAGAAATTAGATAGGGTGGGAATTACTGTTGGTACAGAAACTGAAACTTAAGGGAAGTTGAGTGTGCCCTTGGACTTCCTCTTTGAGCATTCAGCCTAGTGTTGTTTTAGCAGATTGGCTTTTTTCATTTGGTGACAGAATACCCTACTGTCCCAGAAGGATGATGTGACAACAAAGTTGGTTTTCATGCTCAGTTTGTATAATCTGTTTTGTTGCCTCACCCTGAGGCAGTGTAGCTTGAAATGTGATGGATTTCTTTGCAGCCAAAATTATATAAATCTGGATTTAGAGTGTATGGGTATCTTGAAGGTAGTGAGAACACTGAAGAGAAAGGGTGGTGAGATGAAGTAAAGGTGCAGTTGAAGTTTAATAGAGTTGAACTTGGACTGAGCCTGGGGGGTGGTGTTTCTACAGAAGATCAACCCTATAAAGAATCCTGATAAGCTCTGAGAGTTTTAAAGTACCCTGGGTAGACTCCAAGGAATGGCCAACTCTTACCCTAGAGTTGCAGAGAAGAATTTTAATGTATAGATAAAGCTTTCATTAAGCAAGCACTGAGTAATTTGGATTTTGAGTAACTGTAGCCATGACACATATTTAACTTAGAAGTTTAATCAATGATTTCAGCTCCACTAGACTTATTTAAGTAATGAGACTGCATATGTGCAATTTTTGCCCTAGAAATTGCTCAGACTTCAGCAGGCATTGTGAAATAACAGTCTCCTGAGTAGACCTCTTTCCTTTCTGAGCTAGTTGGGTTGTTAGGAATCCTGCAGTTCCCTGGCAACACACCAGCATTCTTGCCCTCTTGCTGCATCAATTCTGCTTTAAGCATTTCAAATACACTTGAGCTGTGTCCCGGTTTCTAGCTGGTCAGTTACTCATCTGGCTAGCCAATTTAGTATGTTATTTCAAATGGCAGATAATTGCTCAATAGGATACTCTCTCCAGATGACCTTTGTATCAGAGGCTTTGATGGTTAACCTACCTGAGGAGCATGCACATTGTAGGCAGGATTAGACCAGTCCCTGTTGGGTGGGGTTGGCCTGGGGCCACTCAGAGCATGCAGGTTAGCTGCCCATCTATCACACAAAGGCTAGTTTCTACTTAATTATTAAAAAAGAAAAAAGAAAAGATAGGAGACACATGAAATAAAGGACAAACTGGGACTCAGGAGACTTGGCCTGTGAGCAGGTTGCCCTTTTTATTTTTCTATTTTCTTCATCAGTTAAGTGGACTCAAGGTTCTCTGGGATTTCTTCTAATTTTGTGTCTTGTATATGTGTGCTTTTTCAAAATGCAAATAACTTCATTATTTTTATGACTATAAATATAGAACATTCTCACACAGAAAACTAATACTATAGAAAACACACACACACACACATAACAAAAGCAAAAATCACTAAGGATCCCACAACCTAGACCCGAATCCAATAAAACTTTTAGTGATCTCTCTTTATATGTCTGTCTATTTTTCTTCCATTTCTTTTAAATTGGGTGAAGTGATACTATATATGCCATATTGTATAACATGAGTTTTCACTCCACATTATGTTCTAGGGTAAGTAATACAGCTCTGCTTCATTCCTTTTAAGGATCTTTAATTTAGGCATTCTGTAACTTAATGCTAGTACATAGTGCTAGAACACTGAACATGATAATTAAAACTTGATCTTCTCCTAGAATTATTTAGGAAGAAGTAATGTCCCAGGAATTTCTCTTATTAGAGAAAAGTTCCTTAAAAATCAATTCAGAGTCCCACTAAATGGAACAGGAATTACTATGGGAACCTTAAGCTAGTGGTTAAATGCTAAATTCTAACTAATTAGGAAAAGTTTTAGACTGATTCCAGAGCCATCATTACTGTTCTTAAATCCTCTACTTACATACCTTTGTATGCTACTTGGAGCAGGTTGAGTGAGGCCAGCAGTATTCACTGGAGTACCTGAGATGAAGACAAAGATGAAACTCTTTACTGATTACTATTCTTATTATTATTGGTACTAGGGATTGAACTCAGGGGGGCACTTAACCACTGAGCCACATCCTCAGCCCTTTTTTTGAGACAGGGTTTTGCTGAGTTGCTTAGAGCCTCACTAAGTTGCTGAGGCTGGCTTTGAACTTTTGATACTCCTGCCTCAGCCTCCCAAGCCACTGGGATTACAAGCATACATCACTGTGCCCAGCATTTAATAATTGTTTTGAAGCCATGTGCATTTATACATGGAACCATTTCTTTGGTATAATGATCATGAATTTACCTTTTCCTTAGAACTTGATAAGACTTTTTAAATAAGTAAAATAATATAATTGAACAAAAGTTTAGAAAACCTCAAGGGACATTAAGTGGGCATTTGAAAAAATGGACACACTGCTTCCCTTTAGTGCAGACTTGTACTCACCAGTCTCATTTAAAAAACTTCTCAAACAGCCAGATATGGTTGTGTACATCTGTAATCCCAGTGGCTTGGGAGGCTGAAGCAGAAGGATCACAAGTTCAAAGCCTCAGTAGCTTAGTGAGGTCCTAAGAAACTTAGCAAGACCCTGTCTTTAAATAAAATCTATTTTAAAAGGGCTGGGGATTTGTCTCAGTAGTTAAACACCCCTGTGTTCAATCCCTGGTACAAAAAAAAAATTCAAACATAAATACAAATGTTTGGTGTGTATATATACAGATATACAGAAAGCATTATAGTAGGCTATAAGAAATTATGTAATAATTTAAAATATTTTGAAGGTGTAATGACATAAAATCATGATGTATTATTAAGTGAAAAAAGTTATATAACAGCATATAGGCAAAGTGTAGTTTTATTTTTATAAAGAAAATTATGCATAGAGGTATAGAAAATGATAAAAATAACTTATGGAAGATGAAAACTGGTTTTCCTATTTTAGTGCAATGATTGGTGATTTTTATTTTATTATTTATGCTTTTTTTTTTTTTTACTTTTCCAAGATTCCCTTAATCAATATCCATCATTTTATATTCAGAAATTAATTCATTTTTAAGCAATCAGGTAGTTAATTATAAATAGGGCATAACTTAACTGAAGACTGAAACCAGCAAAGAAAACCTTTCAGATTATTTGTGAGTAGCCCTTCCTCTCAGCTTCAGCTTGTCAGTTCCTAGAGTTTAATATAATAGAATCCAAACTAGAAATTAGACTGCTCACTTCCTGTTTTTTAATGCTGTCTTATCTCTCCCTTTCTAAAAAGGGTCTGTGTCCCTACAGTCACTGGGCCACTCTCTCTGTTTCTCCCTCTCTAAAACTCTGCAGACTTCTGTTTTCCGAGGTTTAACATCTCAAAAGTGATACACTCTTTAATTTGCCAATCTCACAAGTTGGATATAATGCTTATGATAAGATAATAGATTTGAAAGTGTCTTGTAAACTGGAACGGGAAAACATGGGAAGATCCTTATTAGTGAGTAACCCCCTCCCCCGGGGTGGGGGGGGGAGCTCTGTTTCTCTGATAACATATGCATTTTGTCTCACTCTGAGTGTTTGTGTCTCTCTCCTTCTCACTGCCACCTCTAGGGTAAGACGCCTCAAGACAGAGCACAGCAGGCTGGGGACCCAGAGTTGGCTGCTTACCTCGAAAGCCGCCAAAACTATAAAATCCTTGGCCATGAGGACCTGGAAACTGCTGTTTGACCCTGGTAGATGGGCCAAGAGGATGAGTGAGCAAATCACCTGTGCCCTGCTGGCAGTTGGGCAGCTCCCCTGGAAGAAGATGATGGAATCCATGTATCTGTCTGTCTCCTGCAAGAATCTATCTGAGACCATGCCACCAGTTTTTAAGGGCTACCAAGATGTACAACAGAACATGATAGCCCAGTGAGAAGGAGGCAGGCGACCTGGAGATTTGTGGAATGCAAGTTCCACAAAATTTGATCCTTATTGCTTCCAGCAAGTAGCATGAACTTCTGTGTTCACCTGTATAATTTATTTTACAGATTCAAAGGATGTTTGTATAAAAGGCACTGCTCCCTCCTCCCCCATGCATTTTCATCTTTCCCCCGTCCCACACAATTCTACTGTAATTACCATCAACTTAAAAAAATATGATATCTCTTCTCTTTCCATGCAGTCTTTGAAGACCACAAGATTGTCTGAAGGTCTTTTAAAACCCCTCTGGCTGTTCTGCAGAAATATTACTATAAAACCACTTCCATTTCCAAGACTAAAGATACCGAGACTACTTAGTGACTCTTTGCATGCCCTCCCCTTCCCCCTCCTGTTTCATCCTATAGGAGCTGGAAAGTGCCACATGGATAACGTCAACTTGTGGGCTAATCTCTGAGGCCTGGTGAGGTGGCATGGGAGCTGTCTGTGCTCAGAGGTACCTCAGAGAGGTCACCCAGGGGTCGGCCCAGGCAGCTGGGCTGTTTGCCGATAGCCATGCAGGACGGGTTCAGCTTGGGCTGTTTGTACAGCTCCGTACTGCCTATGTGTAGCCATCTTTGCCTTTTGCTGCAATAGAGATGAGCAAAGGATTAAACAAAGGCCCATAGCTAGTTTGCAGAACCACTCAATTTCAAGTGCTGTTTAAATTGCAGGGCAGAAAACCGTGTGGGAACTGTGGTCACAGGAAATGGAGCACTCTAACAGCGTTTAGTTCTAGTCTTTGTTGAGTGATAATAGAAAGCAACCTAATCGACTTGGGGTGGGGGGGGACAGCGAAAGCAGAAGTAGCAACGTATGTCAAGATAATACACTGGAGCAAGAAAACAGTCATAGGAATGTTGCACAGAAGCTAATGACATAGACTCTTGGATCCAGTGGTGAGAGGGGGTCCATTTAAGCTTTTCCTTCTAGGGTTCATTTTCCTGATTTCCAGGAAGTCTTGACCCAAGGACAAAGCCTTGTTGAATGAATCCCACCCACTTCCAGATTCCCAGAATGCCTGGCTCTTTCTGATGGATGCTTCATTTGTTGCTTGTCAGGTTCTGAGCTCATAGCTGAGAACCCTATTTCCAAGTATGGGGTAGTCTAATATATTTCTTTCTCTGCAGGCAGTTCTTGGTGCTGTGGCAATGTGGGAGTCTAGCCAGAAATGTCTGGGAGTGGGGGACTCTGTGATAACTAAAATATCAGGAGAAAAAGTCTTCTAACTTTCTGTCCAAATATCTACTTGAGTTGGGTGTGAGTCAAAAATAAACGCAGGTGTCCAAGGGTTTTATTTTGGCTAAATCTGGTATCTTCTGAGCTTCCTCCATTTTGTTCCTGGACACAACCAAACGCTCCCCTAGTGTTTCTGCATGTGGCCATTAATGATCATTTCTCTATGTTTAATGTTAAGGGCCAGTGGTGACACATTATTTGTCTGAATCACATCTTGGTCCCAAATCATCATTTTTAAAGTATGGATGTAATATACTGTATTTGTTCAGAGCAACCTGTCAGTAGATGGAAATTTTATTTAGCACAGTTTCTCCTTAGTCACTTCAAAACCAAATGGTTGGCATCGTTTCCAGCTGTGGGAGAATGGGTTGGCTATGAGTAATCCATTTCCATCTATCAGCCTCAGACCTGGAACTCTCTCTTGGATTTTACAGTCAGGGAAGGAGGGGTTTCAGTAGATTGTTTCCAGAAGCTGGGGGAAAAAATATATGCTCCAGGAGAGTTTAATTACTGGGCTTCTGCAGGGAGTGTTTCAGTTGGTGGGACTGTCAAGGAAACATTGTGATGACAGAAATATAATATAATCCTTAAAACAGACTGGTATCTGGCTTTGAATGGTGCCTTCCATTCCCTGGATTGAGCCAGACATTTGGCCAGGCAGTCAGTTACCCAGCTGCCACTGTTGGGATAAAGGACTCCATTTTCATCAGTTACCATCTCAGATTTCTCTGTGAGTGCTTTAAAGCATCCCAGAGAAAATTTAGGGCACAGGTGGCCATGGGCCAATTCAAACAGCTCCAATGGAAGACACAAATAAACCCCTGGTATGAAGACTGATGAAGTACTGACTACTGGAAGGGTCCTGGTGCATCTGGAAACTGTTTAAAAAAAAAAAAAAAAAAAGCATTAGAGTCCTACAGCATTGATGGGGAACAATATGTGAGCTATCTCTTTGAAAAAGCAAACACCTCCAGGATTTGGGATTTAAAAAAAAAAAGTGAGCAGAACAGCCACATATTTACTGGCTTCACTATTGAATCTACCTCCTGTGGCAATTTTTTTTTTTTTATTTGGTTGCTGTGTGTGACAGTTTGGGCTTTAGAAAGAGCTAAAGCCATATGGTCTATGAATTTCCATCTCAGCTTAGGTATTTTGTACCCCCTTTAGTGGGCCATCAGGCCAGCCAATGGTCTGGTCCTGGTCTGAAGCCTCACATAACTTGGACAAAAATCTGTACCTATAAAAATGCTATTACAAAAAGCCTGCAGGGACATTTCTGCAAGAAGTGGCCACCTAGCTAGCCAACATTCCTGTGTTTAATCCTTTGTGTGTGGCACTGCCCACTCTGTGATTCCACTTCTATATTAGGCCACTAAAGGGATAGAAAATGGAGAATTATTTAAAGACAACATTCTATAACCTTAAAGGTAGTCATTTTGGGAACCTCATATTTCCGTATTATGCCATTAATGGAATACAGCACAATCAAGCTGGGCTTTGTCACATTCAAGGACTTGATAAAGAACAGGATTGCTAAACCAAGAAGGGAATAAGCACCATAACTTGGAATTTTGCTTTGAGATTTCTGGTTACTTCAACAGAGGCCATGACTGAAAACTATTGCAAGTTCTGAGACGGAATTTAGCTGGTGAATGCCCAGCTGTGAGATTGCTCATGACTGTGGACAGCCTCTATGCTCCATTGCTGCATACCTTTCATAATTGCTGCAGATCTGTGAGTGTTATAAGGCATTCAGCAGGTAGTTCCTTTTCATTTGGACCTGGTAACAATCCCTTGAGTAAATGATTTCTGAAATGTAATTACTAGAATCCCCGTGATATTCATGTCTTAGAAAATGTGGGGCAACAGTTTCATTTTGTGACAAGTTGATTTTATTAACAATATTTAGATTTCTTTTTATTTATGACAGTAGCACATGCTGTTTGTAACAAGTTATAATAGCACAGAGGAGTATCCCTTGCTGTGTCAAGGCATCTGTCCCTCTGTACTGGTGTCCTGTCTCAGTCCCCAGAGAGAAACGTTGTTAACGTTGATAAACATGGTTGCCTGTATGTTGCATCATAAACACCCTGTTCACATACTCATATATGCATATACAAATTCACACATGCATACAGAAATATATTTATTTGAATATATATGTGTATACACACACCTACATATATTGCATAGATTTAAAAATAGAAAACAATTGAAAAGCATGACAGTCATCTGTATATGTACAGTTAACACCAAAAGGCAAAGAGAGAGAAGATAACAGAATTTTCATTTATTTTTTGTTTCCAACATGACTGAGCTTAGTTCTTGTCACCACATCACTACAGTTACATGTGACATTTACTATTGGCTGTGTCATAAAATCCATGACCAAGAGTCTGACAATTATTTATGTTGATGTCCACAAAACACAGAACTTGCCTCAGCCCTGAGGCTGGTCTTTGATATTTTAAGGTCTCAAATAGATAAAGGAGAGTTCTTTCCTCTGAGGCACACTCCACTTTATAAGGCTGAGTTTACAAGACTATCTCTCCATAGGTTGCCTAATGGTATTTGATTAGGGCAAGCTATTGGCAAGAAAGGGGAGTAACTTGGATATGGTCTGGAGTCTGACCAGTTTGTCTTCCAGTAGGAGTAGCTAATGAAATTACTAAGAACAGTATGATATTTTATTTAATTATGCTATTTAAAAATAAAAATAGTTCTTTGTTAAAATGGCTCATCATAAAACTACTAATTGCTCTACTTAACTAAATTATGTTCATTTTAGGAAAAAAATAGAAGAACATCTATTAAATGAGCTCTCTGATTACTCTTTAACATTTATCTAATATAAAAGCCTCTACCCACATCTCGGGAGACTCACCTTTGAATCCTCAGTGCTTCTCAGCTGCAACAATAATTTTGCCACCCATCTGCCAAAATCTTCGCCAGATATTATGATCAGAAGGGCTCTAAATGAAATTTCCTTTTAAGGCAAGTATCCATGTTGCCCAAAGGACAAGTACATGTCCACTGGCCTTGTCATCCTATAGACCTGCAACAATCCTGATAGTGGGACATAATCCGTGAGGCTCAGCACATTTCTTTCTTGTCCTATAAGAGCTCACAATCATAGCTGTTGTTTCCACACACAGTGGTATAGACAACATGTCCCCTTGACACATGGGTCCTATATGTGTTGTAGCTCTAATGGCCATCCATGGATTTTAGGCCATCTCTCACAGTTTAATGGGAAACCTAGAAAAGAAATAAGCAAGGAATAGTGCATTGGACAACTTATTCTCCCAGGACATGAGATTTATTAGACTGGTCCCCAGAAGAAAGCAGAATAATCCTTAGGGCATTAAATCAATTATTTTAAAGTAGAAGCTTGAATATGAGATGGTGTGTCCATGATGGATAGATTCCTTTTCTGTTTACATATTCCCTTATGCATGCAATTATATGTTCACAAATCAGTCACGCGCATGTATTTAATCATTTATTTAAAAAATACTTGTCACTTACTCTGATGCAGGCACCACATATGAAGGAAAAAACAATGAATGCAATGGACAAACTCAGGATTTATTGGAGTTGGCAGCCAAGGGGGAGAGACAAATTCCAATGTGAAAAATGCTGTGTGGGAGAAACCCAGGGTCCCCTAGCATGTCCTGGAAGTTCAGGGCTAAGCTGTATTTGTAATGGCCAACAGTGTTTTAGGCTTATAAAAACAAAATTAACTAGGAAAGAAATAATGACATTTTGCATTTCCTTTTTCTTAAGAGTTTTAAAATGTTCTTAAAAATGTGTTTTGAAACTAATATTTTACATGAGACTTAGGAACTCGTCTGAAGTAAGGGTTGAAACTACTTTATCCCAGCTCTTAAGGGCAAAACTGGGAATAAGAAGCAGAGCTTGCACTGGATCTTGATTAAATATAAAGGAAATGAGCTATAAATTGTCAAAGAATGCATTGGTCATCCTTACAGAGTTCTAAACTAGCAGCCCCTGGGAGAATTTTAACAGAGGGTATTTGACCATCTTTAAGATTGTTCTGACCGGACATAGGATCTGAGAGGGATGGGTTTAGATTCTGTATTTTTCTGTTATGATCTTTTAAAAAGATGTCTTTGTTGAGTGGCAGGATTTCATTTAAAAAATTCACGAAAACCTTGATTTTTCATCTTTAAATCATCATTTTGTACATGAGAAGCTTTAAAATATTGGGGGAAATGAACTTTAGTTATCATTTAAAAGTTTACAACCACTAAGCATGAATTTAAGAGCTAGCAAAAAAGAAACCATACAAAAAGCTGTAACTTCATTTAAAATACTTCTGGGAGCATTATGTATCTTGACACATTCTTAGGCATTCTCAAGGAAAATTCTATTAGAAATCTGTCTTACTGTTTGTTATATATATGAAGCACTGTGATTTGATATTCTTAAAGTTAAGGGTAACCTTATATAACCACAGAAGAAAATTCTGTCTAAAAGATATTTAGGAGCAAAGTAAATGTAAATGAGAGGTAGTTGTGGAAAACGCCTGGCTTCAGCTACCAGCATGGCGATTACAAAGAAGGAAACAACCACAGAAGAAAAAAAGTAATAATCTAGGTTTTCTCCCAACTTTAAGTTTCAACCTCTAAAACCAAATGGCATGTGAAATGGGAGCCTCTGATAGTGGCTCAAACTGAGACTATCTTCTTTCTCAACTCTTTAATGAAACACATATATAGCTTTTAACATAAAATAGTTGAACGACCAATCTATATTATTTCTTAATAACAATTTTCATAATGTTTTTTTTTTTTTAAAAAAAAATTAGTGGTTTGGCATTTTAATATGCCTTTTGGCACTTTTGAGCTTCAATACAACCCCAGGAGATGGATAATACATTTAGATGAATAAATTGAATTATTCAATAAATTGAAGCAGTG